GCCACAGATGCTTTCTTAGCACAGGGCACCCTTGGGGCCACTTACTAGAAGGCTCACCTATGAAAAAAGAGAAATCTGAGGGAAATTCAATTGCTTTAATATAAAATGCAAAAAGTGGACCATCTTTTAAGTTCATATCTAATTTAACTTGTTTTTTATAATTATATAATTGCTGGGTAGGTACTTATGTAATTAAATCAAATAAATTTCAGTTTCAAATACCAAAGTGAATTATGATATGACTTAAGCTACATATGTGAACTACTTTTGTGGATGTATTCCTGTCTAAAATTGAAAATAACTTCTATTTTTTCTGCTAGGTATCCACAGATTATGGTTAGGGAGCTAATGAAAAAAATCAACAACAATAAAAATAAGTTTTCTGCATTGTTCGTTTTGGGGCATCATGATTGAACTTGGTATATGGCTAATGTCACTTACCTGGAGGGCTCTCTAGTAATATTTTTTCCATGATCTTCAATATCTGTTTTATAGAAATGTAATTGAAAAGTACTTGCATTTTTAGACTGACTTTTCCTTTCCTTCTCACTGTACTTTATTCTGATGGATTTTCAGTTCTGTCTGGGGTACTCTGAGTTACCTACACAATACCTTTTCTTACCAGTTTGCCCAGATATGCTGTGGTCAATAACACTCCCCAGTTGTTCCCCTATGTCAAACCCAGCACAACATTGGCATGTATAGTAAAGGCTCAACAAATGTTTGTTTGTTTGTTTTTAGGAATTTAGAATGGCAAAGAGCAAAATATGTTCTTTCTTTATTAGAGAAGTTAAAATTCACAAATGGAATGATAGTCATTGATCTTCATTACACAACCAAAAATTATTAGGAAAATATGACTCATAGTCAAGAAAAAAAGCAAATAGAAACTGACTCTGGGATGGCTCAACTTATCTAATTTAGCAGGCAAACATTTTAAAGCACCTATAATAAATATGTGCAAAAAACTAAATAAAATATATGTTAAAATTTAGGAAAATATTTTCTTAATAAGTGAACAGAAGTAAAATCTCAGCAAAGAAATTAAACCATAAACAAAAAGTGGAAATCTTAGAACTGAAAAGTGTAATGACTGAAAAATTCATTAATGTGCTCCAATAGCAGGTTGGGTATAGCAGAAGAGTCTGTAAATGAATAAAGGAACTGGTATGATCATAATATTTAATACTACTCAGCAACAAAAATAAACTGCTTGTTTCTCTATCAATATGAGTAAATTTCCAAACATTATCCTGAAAGAAAGAAACTAGACACACAAGAGTGCCTACTAAATAATTTATATAGATGAGATTTCAGAAAAAGGCAAATCTAATCCATGGCAACAAAAATCAGGCTATGGTTGCCAGGGGTTAATTACTAGGAAGCTCATAAGGCAATAAAAATTGCATATCAATCTGTGTAGTGGTTACACAGGTATATGAATTTGTCAAACATTTTACATGTTATGGAACTTATGTTCAATAAAATCAATATAAAAATAAGGTGGATAAAAATGTTTAGGTTCTAGACCTCATGATAATCTGTAACACTTCTATTAACTCCATAGTTAAGTAATACTTCTGTTTTAATTTGGAATGAAAAAATAAAAGAAGGAGAAGCATAAGGTTAGGGAAGATAACAAGAAGTAGTACTTGGTAATCAAAGTTCATTCTCCTAAATTAGAAAGCTATTATATCCCATGTCTGCCATTTACTAGCTCTGTGATCTTAAGGAGGTTTCTGAGCCTCTATCTCTATCTCCCCTCTATAAAATAGGAAGGGAGTGTTATGCCCAGATTTCAAAATCCCCAAAGACAGACCACCAGGGAGTGCAAAAGCAAAGAGTCATTTATTCAAACTAGCTAGTTTGGTCCCTCTGCCTCCCCCACTGACACAGTGGAGTGACAGGAAGCAAGAGAGCCCCGAGTCTTGGAAGAACAAAGAATTTATAGGGCTTGGGTCAGGGAGTGGGGGCTCATTCGGACCACTGATTTGGCCGATTCCGGTTGGCTGAGTGAGGGCCGGGGGCTAATGACGCAAGGGCAGGGTGCAGCTAGGGTCTGGTTACACAAAGACAGGAGGTGGCTAGCATACTTTTGGCCTTGGGCTAGTTTCCTTGCGTTCCTATTGGCTGAGATAAGGGCTGGCTGAGGAACTGATACATTCTATGGCTTTTGCTTGAAGAGGAGTTAGGAACACGGTTATCAGCCCTGTTCTGTCCTTTCAGGAGAGGTAACAATTTCTCTCAAGGTTCACCTTTTCCACAAGAGGAAAATTAAGTAAGATTATGTCCACGAAGTTCCTAGAACACGTTAAGTGCTCAGTGAATTGTAGGTAATATTTTTATTTTTAATCATAAGTGTTCATTTCAAGAGTGCCTAAGTTCTCTAAATAAAATTGTGGGAGTGGTCAACCTGGTATGGTGGTTCCAGAATTTCTTCTTTTAGTTGGGCAGCATGATGGACTGGAGGTGAGAGTAGAGAAAAAGGATCTTTTTCTCCTAATCTAACAGACTGGCTAATGACCTGGAATCATGGGACATAATATCTCATCATAGACATGGTCTTTTATTATAGCTTAGTCCAGTGCAAATAACATTGAACAGAATGGAAATTTTATTTTGTCCTAGTGAAATGTTACCTAGATCATAACAAGAAGCATGAATAAATCAGAAAAGAGAGTACACTTTAAAGGATAGTGTTTGAAAACATGTATTCAGAGGGAAAGAGGCCAAAAAAAAGCATGCGTGGGTTCTAGTTTTACCATGAAATGTTGTGTGTAAGAATTTATCTCTTTCCCATACAAGGATACAGAGCCTTACCTGCATTTTATTTAATGTATCTTTTCTTCATTTGGGAAGGAAAACATAGGAATTGTTCTTCTAATGTAAATCTGAATCTGAGAATAAATTGACATGGGCAACATTTCTGGAGAATAATTGAGCACCCCCTTATTATGAGGAAAGACTATCTTAAACACATCTAGTGGTTCAACATAGTCTATGCAATTATAAGTAGGACATGATTTAATGACTCATCCCACTCATCCCCACCAAACCAATTTTTTTGTTCTGAGACAGCTGCATTGCCCATCTCCAACAATTCTAAGTGGAGCTTTACACAAAATTGAATAATACTCATCCCAAGCCCAGAGCACGCACTATTTTCTTAGAGATGGAGGTGCTAAAAAAAACTCTTTTCAGCATATTATGGGCACTGATGACCTCTGTTTTCCTTGACAGGAACAGTTGCTGATAATGAGGCCTAGGACACGCTAGGATTGAGGGGAGATGGTGAGGAGGGACACAGGGGATGCACAATGGCCAACTGCAACAAACAAAGAAGTAGAAAGGAACCAGATTTTGAGTCTTTCTTCCTTGACTTAAAATTTAACTGTAACTTGACAAGAAATTCTTGGCAACTTCCTTAAGGTGAGCTCTGGGGATCAATCTGGTTATTTCTTATGTCTACAGGATCTGGCATATCCCAGAAGGTCACTCAATCCCATCCAACAACATCTAGGCAGGAGGATCAGACTGTGGAGCCAGACTGTTTATATGACACCAGGGTTGTAGATTATGTATTGTATTGGTACAAAGGCCTCCCAGTGGTGAGATGATTTTCCACATTTCTTAGCACAAAAATTCAGGAACCAATGCAACATAGGGTCAATATTCTGTGAACTTCCAGAAAGCAACTAAATTTATCAAGTTCATCACATCACCATCCCAGTTAGAAGACTCTACAACAGTGGTTCTCAACCTTCTGGCCCTTTAAATGCAGTTCCTCATGTTGTGACCCAACCATAAAATTATTTTCGTTGCTACTTCATAACTGTAATGTTGCTACTGTTATATGAATTGTAATGTAAATATCTGATATGCAAGATGGTCTTAGGTGACCCCTGTGAAAGGGTCGTTCTACCGCCAAAGGGGTCTCGACCCACAGGTTGAGAACCGCTGCTCTACAACATATTTCTGTTGTCTCAGAGAGTCCACTTAAAAAAAAAAAAGATGCCCTAACTGGTTTGGCTCAGTGGATAGAGCATCGGCCTGTGGACTCAAGGGTCCCAGGTTCGATTCTGGTCAAGGGCATGTACCTTGGTTGCGGGCACATCCCCAGTAGGGAGTGTGCAGGAGGCAGCTGATCAATGTTTCTCTCTCATCGATGTTTTTAACTCTCTATCCCTCTCCATTCTTCTCTGTAAAAAATCAATAAAATATATATTTAAAAAAGAAAAAGATAGATGAGCCTCACAAACAAACAGAACTCAACCTGAGGCAATTGCTTATTGCCATATTCTAAAAGAAGAATTACAAGCCTTACCTAGACACTTCTTAGCAACTAGTTGTTGAAATGTGTAAGATAAGATCTAGAAAGGAAGCTGTTGAATTCATTCTAGGAAGAACTCCCTCACAGCTGGCTTAGAGATCACATCATAGGACCACATGTAAAAGCCATACTTTCAGATAACATCATAATTCCTCCCATGGAGTATGCCATAAAAAAAACATATGAAAGACAGTATTTGAACAATATGCTTGATTTAATCTAGATTTTATAACTGCTCAACTCAATCTTTTGAGGTTACTGGACCCAATTTCAACATGTATGTGAAAAAATAGGGCAGCAGTTTTCCCCATACATGAAGTAATTCTTCAGACAACAGTTGGTGTTCTACAATTCAGCTCCATTCTGACATTATCTACCTGGAGATAGCATCAAATCCCATTGGTTTGGGGCTCAGTCCTACAATAGTGCCTCCCACCCCACTTCAGATGCCAGTCCCAAGCCTAGATTGTTACCTGTGCTTCTGACCCACCAGCTACAAAGTGGAGGTTGCAACAATGCCCTTCAACTCAGGATG